CATCATTGTAGTCCGGTGGCACAGAAATTTCAGTCTCGCCGGAATGCTGATTTGCCGGCGGCGTCTCTGGTGTTGCTTTAGCCGGCGCAGGAGACTCTTCTGGAGCAGGTGGCGCCAATTGTGAAGTTGGCAATGGTTTATACTGTGGAATCGGGCGCCTACCACCGATAGCTGTAGTAATCGGAGGCCGCGGTTTTTGTCGATGCCACGGTGGTCGTTGACTAATAAAACCCGGACGCAATGGAACAATTTGTTCCGGTATTGGCACACCTGTAATGAACGGCCGCTCGGGGCGATCAAATGGACCCGTGTACGGTGGCGGGCGTATGGATGAGCCCAGCGGTTTCTTTTGCGTATCATAATCGATCGGCAAAGTTTGTACATCAGAGATGCGTGGTGGTCCGCGATTATTGATGCGACTGGCAGACGGACGGCGAAGTCCCTGTGTATTTGCATGGACATTTACATTGCCATTCAAAAGCTTCACAATGCCTGTTATAATGTCTTGTATGTCAGGGTTGGAGTTTTGACGCGGATTATGTGGCGAGGCCGTGGCAGTGGCCGCCGTCGAGGTAGCAATACTGCGCGTCGGATTGATCGGGGACCCCGACATAAGCGGTCGCAGGTCCCCTTTCGCTAAAAAAGACTCCGATGCTACAGCTGTTTCTGGCATGGATGTGGCCGCAATGCCACTAAAAGATGGCTTAAATGTTTTGCCTGCACGTGCGCGTTGTGTGCGTTCAGGTGCCTCAGAGGCGGCATCATTGAGGGTGCCTGTGGGTTTAATATTATACTGAAAGTAGCGACCAGCGCCTGCTTCTTTATCTGCATCGCTAGGAAAGTGCACATCATTCGGACCTGATTTTGGATAATTGTCATTCAATATGGGTAGTGCAGATCGTTCCATACGTAAATGCTGGCGTGTTTCGTTATCTTCTTGACCCGGGCTATCATCAGTCGGCAGTGTACTATCAGCTGTGGATGTATCTGCAAGTGTGCTCTCGAGTACTAAGTTCGATGTGATGGGCAAGATAGACACAGCGGCAGACATTAACGGACTGATAGATTTCGGTGATATCTGTGATATGGAGGGATGCGCGTACTCGTCCTGCAGGCACTCTGGAAGTGAATAAAAGAAAAAAA